AATATAATGCCCATAGAGGGGACGTATAAACCTATAGAGGCACATAGTTCTGGGACTATGAGGGTATGTTGAACCCTAGTCCAACTCGGTGCTAAGCCTACTCTCAATTGGAAATGTGTATGACGCAACATAACTAAAATACTCGATTAGCTAAATATTCTTACATGCTAACTGAGAATGCAACATTTAAGTACCTACAATGAAACATTCGAAATTTGAGGCATGTATTTCTATTTATTTGACCTAGCTAGTGTGATTCATGAACTAAACGAATCTACACAACTAGGGTTCTGAGGTTCATGCAAGGAACTACACAATGATTTCATAAAAACATGATAATCTGATTAAGGATACTATAACACCTAAACCACAACCAATATCTAAGGTTTAGAAACCCTAGGTCTAACAAAAATACACCAAATCAAGAATATGAGTGAATTCTAGGGACTTAGTGGATGAAATGAACCCACTAGTGAAATCCTACATACCTGGTGACGAAATCTACGAAGAAATCCTTTGATTTTAGGGCTGGAACTAAAGAAAACCTGGTGCGTTCTTGGAAGGGTTTGGGTCGCCTCTTTTCTCCTAAGTTTGGTGATTATTTTAGTGAATGAATCGCTTAGGGAAATATCTGTTACTAGTCTTAAACTAACCAAAACTACGTAGTTTAGGGATCAAACGACGTAGTTTAAGTGCCTAACGCATAGGGGAAAGGACCAAACTGGCAGTGACTTAATTCTGACGAAGGCCACCCAAGCTCAGTGCCTATTTGCCTATTTATTTCTTACCTTAAGGCTAGAAAGATGATTTCCAAAGGGTATATCCATAATCTTGTTTGGGTTAAGCATTTAAACTCCGAAACCCCAACTCTTAAGTCAATCCTAGTAGTAAATGAGTTTCCAGAAATGTTTCCAGAAGATCTTCCCAGAGTTTCTCCAAAAAGGGAAATTGAATTCGGAATTGATCTCCTTCTAGATACCCAGCCCATTTGAATTCCTCCATACATAATGGTTCCAACTGAGCATAAGGAATTGAAAGAGAAGTTGAAATACCTTCTAGATAAGGGCTTCATCAGACCTAGTATTTCTTCATAGGGTGCTCTAGTGTTGTTCATGAAAAAGAAAGATGGTTCTCTCTGAATGTGCATTAACTATCGCCAGTTGAACAAAGTCACCATCAAGAATAAATACCCTATCGCCATGATTGATTACTTGTTCGACCAACTTTAGGGCGCTAGTTATTTTTTGAAGATAGACCTCAGATCGAGTTATTATCAGCTCAGCGTTAGAGATAGTGACATTCTGAAGACAGCCTTCAGGACTCGGTATGGTCACTATGAATTTGTAGTTGTCTTTTGGACTAACAAATGCTCCTGCAACTTTCATGGACTTAATGAACAAGGTGTTCAAACGATAATTAGACTTGTTCGTTATTATCTTTATAGATGATATCCTCATTTATTCTCGAAGTATGGAGGAGCATGCGACTCATCTGAGAGTTGTTCTGCAAACTCTCCAGTTATTCGCTAAGTTCAGAAAATATGAATTATGGTTGCACTCTGTCGCTTTCCTTGGTCATTGATATACCATGAGTTTACGGTATTTTTGATGCATTTCACTTAGAAGTTGTGTGTGTCTAGGGCTATATTGTATTAGAAATAATATGTTTTGTATTATGTTTGCAGGAAATAAGCTTGGAATGCAGTTGATAGAGATGATGGATGAAATTATGTAGAAGGAGCCACCCACGAAAGTGATCCATAGACCGTAGGTTCAATGACGGACCATCGATGGGCAGGCGTGGATGGATCATCAGGGAATTTTGACTAAATGTGGAACTACGAATAAACTGACGGACCGTAGGTTGACCCACATGTCGTCCTACACATATGTCGATAGATTCAAAGAGTTGAGTTGTAGTACCTGATGAAAAATCCTAAGTATGGATCCACAGAAGGGGACTGTAGGTCGACCCAAGGTTCGTAGGTTGAGTCGTCAATTAATGCCGTGTTCCAGACAACTTATTTCCTTATTTTGTTTTCTTTTTCATTTGGGACATCTTTTCTATAAATAAGAGTTATAAACCTCGTTTATGGGGTTTAGACATTATTGTATACTCTGAATTCTTGGTGTTTTGTGGAATTAACTTGCAAGCTTTAGCAATTTGATTTCCGGATTTAGTTTTATAAGATTTTCACTTTGAAATTCAATTGGATATTTTGGGTTTCATCTACTCTAATCGTAAGTTCATGAATTCATTTTATCAAAACATGAATTATGTTCTTTCAAGCATGAGTAGCTAAATCCACAACAAGGGTTGTGGGAACCATGAGCAATTAACAACGTATGAATAATAATTAAATAATTCTTGAATAGCGTTTATGCATGTATTTGTATTTTTTTTGCTTTGAAGTCTTTTTAATGAGTACACACGTTAGAACTCACCATGTTGCTACTTGCCGGACCGAGGTAGTTAATGATAAAAGAATTAACAATAGAGATTTAGTGGATGCTATCTAATAGTCTACTGTCAATTGGTGCGAGAGTGAAAACTAAGACATATATTGATATGATGTCTAATCTGAGGCAAAGGTAAGGGTTTAGGAAAGTATAAACTCATAGCTGGACCAAGGTGCGTAGTGAAATTCCCTATTTGGAGGACCAATCACTTAGGGATACCTATCTTACCAACTTTGCATGTAAAACACTAGGAAATAATTACTATTATTAGGATTACTACTTTAAAAGATTGTGAGGAACACATACACACTAGTTTCTCTCTCATATTGATAATCAAAAGTTTGAATCCTGTTCACTTGTTACTTAATCAACAATCGGTTATTTGCTTACACAAACCCCCCCCCCCCCCTTATTTACTTTTTTTAGAAATAGTTTGACTAAGATATAATAGTGAGTTAAGTTTAAGTCTGAACCATATTCCTCATGGGATTGACCCCAACCTTGAAGTTGGGTTCTTTATTTGACGACGACCGCTTATACTTCTTTAGGGTGGTGTAATTTGAGCATATCAAATTTTGGCACCGCTGCTGGGGAATAAGGCTTTCAGATTAAGTTTAACTACATTATTGAACTTTAGTCAATTATTTCCTAATTTTACGTTTTCTTTAATTTTTGTTTTATATCGGTTTCTAGTCTAGTGTATGCCAAGTACACGGAGTCGAGACGAACCATTGACCCTCTACGATCCAGAGTTGAGCAAAACTATGAGAAAAATGAATAATCAAGGGGTCCAAATCAATCCAATCGGAGATAATCTAGGTGATGGAGTACAATTGCAGCCTCCTGGGGTTGTTAATGTGCAAGCTCAGGTTCATGGTGGAAATCATATCAGAGATGCAGAGAGGGTGCAGAATCTGCCAGCACTGAGGTTGCGTGATAGTATAGGGTTGACTTCAATACAGTTGAATCAGAAGCTCAGGTTCTGAGGGCATACATTTGTGGTGACCAACAGTCTTATGCAGATGGTTACAACGAGAGAGCTATTTTTTGGGTTAGCTTCGAAAGATCCGGATGGTCACATGGATAAATTGAGAAGTGTATGTAAGAGTTGTGGGGGGCGACCTGAGTTTGATATGGATGTCATAGGTTTGAGAGTCTTCCCTCTATCATTGACCAGTGATGTTGCGGTGTGGTTTATTGAGCTTCCATATAATTCAATTCATACATGGGACCAATTGCATCGAGTGTTCATGGAAAATTATTTCGCAATGTCTAAGAAGCTTAACCACAAGGACAAGTTGAATAATTTTGTGGCACTACCTAGAGAGTCTGTGAGCAGTTCTTGGGATAGGTTCACTGCGTTCATCAGAAGTGTTCCAAATCACCGCATAGATGACGAGTCATTGGAGGAGTATTTCTACAGAGGGCAGGATGACAATGGAAAGGCTGTGCTAGATACTATCGCTGGAGAATCCTATGGTGAGTGAACTTTTGAGGAGATCGCTGAAACATTAGAGAAGATTTCTCGGAATAATAAGGCATGAAACACTAGAAAAACTAATATTGGAAGAAGCACAATTGTTGTTCAAGACGCACCAAAGCAGTCTAGTGATGACATTCCTGAGGAGATGGCTCAGATAAGGACAGAACTTGGGTTGGTATTGAAGCATGTGATTGGAAATACATAACAGGTGAATGCGGTAATTACCTAACTAGAACTCCAGCATTACCAGTTGAGGAATGCTACTATGAAGAGGATGCGTATTTGGTGAATGATCAGACAGGGGGTTTTCGAACCAATGCCCAAGATTCCAACTCGGATAGTTGGCACCAGGGTCAAGGAAACCAAGGTCGGAACTATGGAAACTACAATCGAGAAGGGAACTATGTTCGAGATGGGAACTACAATCATGATAACAACTACAACCGGACCAACTATGGTAACAGGAATAAGAGAGTTGGGCCTTATGTTCCACCTGCAAATCGGGAATTTGGTAATAGGGAAGTTGGGGGTAGTATGTTACGCATTGAGGATATGATGCAGAAGATAATGAAGAGGTTTGATGCGACTGATGAAAATGTGAAAGAGATGCGAAATGACTTGTTTGAAATGGGTCAAAAAGTTGATGCCCATGCAGTGTTGATCAAGCAACTTGACCATTAGTTTAGTCAGTTGTCCACTACTTTGAACCCACGTCAGCCTGGCAAAGTTCCTTCCAACACCATCCAGAATCTGAACAATGATGGGCATTGTATGGCAGTCAATACTCAAGGAAGTAAACATACCATTGATCCCCCTATGCCGTCTGAGGTTGAAATTGTGGTAGAAAGAGATGAAGATGAGATTGAGGTTACTGGAGAGCCTAAAATGCTACAGAGAAGGAAGCGGAGGTGACCCAAAAAGTTGATCCCATGCCTAAACCTCCACCTCCATTTCCACATAGATTGGTAAAGAAGACTGAAAAAGGAAAGTACCGCAGGTTCATAACTATGTTGAAATAGCTTTCCATCAATGTTTCGTTGATCAAAGCTTTTGAGAAAATGCCTGGGTATGCGAAATTTATGAAAGATTTTGTGACCAAGAAGAGGGCCATCAGTTTTGAGAATGATGAGAGGTTGAAAAATTGCAGTACTATTGCTACTAGGTCACTTGTGCAGAACAAAGAGGATCCTGGAGCTTTCATTATTTCTTGTACCATCGGTTTGTTGCACTTTGAAAAGGCTTTGTGTGATATTGGTGCCAGCATCAATTTGATGTCATTGCCGATCTACAAAAAGTTGGGTTTAGGGGCTCCAAAACCAACTGCAATGCGTCTACCTATGGCCGATAGAACTGTGAAGAAGCCCATTGGTGTTCTCCAAGATGTCCTTGTGAAAGTGGAGTCGTTCATTTTTCTGGCGGATTTTGTTATACTTGATTGTGAGGTTGATTTTGAGGTTCCCATCATCTTAGGGAGACTATTCCTTGCTACTGGGTGCACCTTGGTCGATATGTAGAGAGGGCAGAAGAAGTTCCTATTGAATAATGAAGAGGTAACTTTCATTATTTGTAGGTCTAAGAAACAAGAAAGTGATCTGAAGTCAGTATCAGTGGTGAATCAAATTATGGAGCGAGGTTCGAAAGTGTCTACTGAAGAAAGGTTGGGTGTTGATGCACTGGCAGCGGTAGTGACGAATTTTGAGGGTGATGGTAGTGAAGACTATGATGAATTAATTGCCGCATTTGATAGGTTCAAATTCCGTTCCAAACCAACAAAATTGGAGCTAGATATGAAGAATCGCGACTCTCCACCTGCAAAACCATTTGTGGAAGAAGCTCCAAAATTGGAATTTAAGGCTCTACCATCGGATTTGAGGTATGTATTCTTGGGAATAGATGGCAATTTACCGATAATCATTGCGGATTTGAGTGAGGTACAAGTAGAGACATTGGTTTCTGTGTTGAAGATGTTGAAGCGGGCTATTGAATGGACTATTACAGACATTATTGGGTTTCCTCCTGGCATTGTTCTCATAAAATCCAACTCATGCCGGACAACAAGACAAATATTGAGCACCAAATAAGACTAAATCCATATATGCAAGAGCTCGTGAAAAAGGAAATCATCAAATGGTTGGATGTTAAAGTCATATATCTCATTGCAAATAGTAGTTGGGTCTGTTCTATTCAGTGTGTACCTAAGAAAGGTGGGATCACTGTGGTTCCTAATGCAAAAAATGAGGTTGTTCCGATGAGGCCAGTGACTAGATGAAGAGTATTCATGGACTAGTGCAAATTGAATGCTTGGACAAAAAATGATCATTTCCTGATGCCTTTCATGGATAAAATGTTGTGATAGTTGATAGGAGCGCTACTGATAACGTTCCTAGTGTTGATCTAGCGGGCTCTGGGAAATCGGACCCACCTACTTCTTGAGAGCTCTTCGACACATATGCGCCATAGGTTTTCTTCACCCTATGTGTTATTTTAGATTTTTGTGCATTAGGGACAATTGCACTTTATTTTGTTGGGGTGGGGTAAATGGATTGTGAGTGATAAGGTGAAGTCTGAGTAACCTAACTCATGATCCTCTCTTGGAGATTTCTTTCATGTGTTCTTTTCCCCCAAGAGACTGTTTTAATTTATGTTGAACCGACATGTTTAGGAATGTATTTGTAGAAGTAAGTAGAAAAATGAAAAGCATGAAAATATATGACTCCCATCCAAAAAGTTTGAACTGTGCTAGATCTTTAAGCTTGATAAGTTGAATGTGCTGGATCTCAATGTGACATGATAAGAAACCGATTTGACTTTATGACTTAAGCTAAAACTTGAACTGGGTAATCGAATAATCTGATAATGAAACAAGGTGCCAAGTGTGTGTGAGAAAAGCTTGAATGTTCATACAATGTGTGTCAATCTAGAACTTGCCTCGTTGGTCCTGCTAAGATAATCTATATTAGAAGTTGGGAAATAATCATAGGCCTTTGTTCAAATAAGACCACTCAAGCCTAAAATGATCCAACCAAATGAAATCAATGTTCCCTTTGATCCAAATGTTTGAGCCTAATATCGACCACTTCTTTCAATTCACCTAACTCACCTTCCCTAAAACAATTGTTTTGGCCCTGGTCCCTCTTTGGACATGTGCACCTTGACTTAGGATAAAAGCCTAAGTTGAGGGTGGCTAGTTAAAAAGTTACCTTGGTCTTGGCCCTGGTCCGACATTTGATACAGTGCACCTCAACTCATGCTAAACACGTAAGTTGAGGGTGGCTGTGAAAAAGGAAACCGGAAGAAAAAGCGTATGAAAAGAGTTTTGTGTTGAAGAGAGAAACAGAAAAAGAAAAAAATTTGACTTTCTGCAAAAGAAGAAAAAAGATGAAAAACAAAAGTGCTAAAAAAATAAAGAAAAATAAAGTGAAAGAAAAAGAAGAAAGTGAAAAATAAGAGATATAAAGTCAAAAGTCACATCTTTGTTGAAGAGAGTCAATGGAAAGAAAGTAAAATGAAAGGATGTCAAGGATAGGTTGAGAAAAGAGGTAAAAAGCCAGTGTAATGTCAAGGAGGGCAAAAAGTCACTAAAAAGTACCCAAATGTACCATACCTTACCCTGAGCCTATGTTACAAGCTAAGAAACTCCTATAGTGATCCTAACAACTAGTTTGGAGAGTCTAAGCAGTGAAAATAAGGCCAAGCCTTTGGTATTGAGCACTAACTGTACTTGAAGTCACTTCTGAGTCTGAATGTTGAATGAATCCTCAAAACTTGAAAGTCATATCTATTGTGTGTGAAAAAGGATTTCTTTTGAGGTGAGGGCATTAGTTACATTGTTGGAAAATTGATACCTTGGTGATTGTAAAAGGTGTATGTTGTGATGTCTGATGGTCGATCTATGTCATGTTTTTATCCATATGAGTTAGCTTGTTGGGTTTAAATGAAAAGATTTGCACTAAGGAAATCGAATGGATTGAAAAGGCCATTTGATTCCTTGAGTTTGTATGTTTTCTTCTACACAAGTGTTGTTTAGAGTTTTAGTGTGTCCTTTGAGGACAAATAACAAGTTTAAGTTGAGGGTGTTGATATTTTGTTAGTTTACGGTATTTTTGATGCATTTCACTTAGAAGTTGTGTGTGTTTAGGGCTATATTGTATTATAAATAATGTGTTGTGTATCATGTTTGCATGAAATAAGCTTGGAATGCAGTTGACAGAGATGATAGCTAAAATTATGCAGAAGGAGCCACTCACGGAAGTGATACACGGAATGTAGGTTCTATGATGGACCGTCGTTGGGCAAGCGTGGATTGATCATTAGGGAATTCTGACTAAGTATGGAACTATGGCGCAACTGACGAACCGTAGGTCGACCCACGGGCCATCCTTCACATCCGTCGATGGATTCAGAGAGTTGAAGTTCCAGTACCTGATGAAAAATACTAAGTATGGAGCCACGGAAGGAGACATATGCACTGTAGGTCGACTCACGGTCTGTAGATCGAGTCGTCGATTGATGTTGCGTTCCAGATATCTTATTTCCTTATTTTGTTTCCTTTTTATTTAGGACATATTTTCTTTAAATAGGAGTTATAAACCTCATTTTTTGGGGGTTAGACATTATTGTATACTTTGAGTTCTTGGTGTTTTGTGGAATTAACTTGCAATCTTTAGCAATTTGATTTCCGCATTTTGTTTTATAAGATTTTCACTTTGAAATTCAATTGGAGATTCCGGGTTCATCTACTGTAATCATAAGTTCATGAATTATTTTTATCAAAACATAAATTGTGTTCTTTCAAGCATGAGTAGCTAAATCCACAACTAGGGTTGTCGCAACCATAAGCAATTAACAACGTATGAATAATAATTATGTAATTATTGTTTGCTTGTTTCGGTCAAATATAATAGTGAGTTAAGTTTAAGTCTGAACCATATTCCTCATGGGATCGACCCCAACCTACAAGTTGGGTTCTTTATTTGACGACGATCGCTTATACTTCTTTAGGGAGGTGTAATTTGAGCGTATCAGTCAAGTGGTATCTAGTGAAGGGATCCGAGTGGATTCTCAAAAAATAGAGACAGTGAAAGAATGGCCCAGACCCACCTCTCCACCAGATATCAAAGGTTTCTTGGGTTTGGCATTTTATTACCGGAGGTTTGTTGAAGGATTTCCATCCATAGCTTCCCCATTGAATAAGTTGACTGAGAAAAAGGTTAAGTTTTAGTGGTCAGATGAGTGTCAGAAAAACTTTGCATAATTGAAAACAAGGTTGACTACAACTCTTGTCTTGACTCTACCAGGTGGCTCAAACGGTTATGTGATTTATTGTGATGTATCCAGGGTTGTCTTCGGTTGTGTATTGATGTAGCGAGGTAAGTTCATAGCTTATGCTTCTAGAAAGCTTCAGGTACATTAGAAGAACTACCCGACTCATGACCTCGAGCTTGTAGCCGTAGTATTTGCCCTACAGATCTGGAGATATTACTTGTATGGTGTTCACAGATCATAAGAGATTCCAGTATGTGTTCACCCAAAAATAATTGAATCTTCGTTAGAGGAGATGGCTTGAATTCCTCAAGGACTATGATATGAATGTGCTTTACCATCCTAGTAAGGCCAATGTAGTAGTTGATGCAAGGGTAGTGTAGCACATGTTGAGGAAGAAAAAAAAATTAGCAAAAGATATTCATCGGCTTGCTCGCTTAAAAGTTTGTATTACGGACACATCAGATAGTGGGATGACAGTTCAGAATGGATTAGAATATTCATTGGTAGCGGAGGTTAAGGAAAAACAAGATAGTCATCCGATATTACTTCAGTTGAAAAGTACAGTTCATCAGCAGAAAGTTCAAGTTTTATCCCAAGGGGAAGATGGTGTGCTTCGTTACCAAGGTCACATGTGTTCCTAACCTGGGTGAGTTAAGGCAACATATTCTTATAAAAGCCCATAACTCCAGGTATTCCATTCATCCAAGTTCCACTAAGATGTACCGTGATCTACAAGAAGTCTTTTGGTGGAACGGCATGAAGAGAGACATAGCAGATTTTGTGGTTAAGTGTCCAAATTGCTAACAGGTTAAGGTAGAACATAAGAAACCAGGAGGTATGAGTCAGGAGTTTAACATTCCTACATGGAAGTGAGAAGTGATAAGCATGGACTTCATTATAGGTTTACCTCGTAGACAGCATGACTATATTTGGGTGATAGTAGATAGAGTTACTAAGTCCGCTCACTTCTTGGATGTCAAGAATACAGATTCGGCGAAGGACTACGCGAAACTCTATATCCATGAGATAGTCAGGATACACGGGGTTCCTTTGTCTATCATTTCAGATAGAGGTCCTCAGTTTACCTCTCATTTTTGGAAATCGTTTCAGAAAGGTCTTGGTACTTAGGTAAATATCAGCATAGCATTTCATCCACAGACAGATGGTCAGGCAGAACGTACCATTCAGACCTTAGAGGACATGTTGAGAGCTTGCGTGATCGATTACAAGGGTTGTTAGGATAACCACCTATCTCTTATAGAGTTCTCCTATAATAATAGCTATCATTCTAGCATTCAGATGGCCCCTTATGAGGCATTATACAGGTGTAAATGCAGATCACCGATTGGTTGGTTTGAAGTAGGTGAATCAACATTGATTGGACTAGATTCGGTTCATGAGCTATGGAAAAAGCTCAGCTCATCATGGATAGACTTAAGACAACTCAGAATCATCAGAAATCCAATGCAGATGTGAGGAGAAGAGACTTAGATGTTGAGATTGATGATTGTGTTTTCCTGAAGGTGTGACCTATGAAGGGAGCGATGAGATTTGGCAGGAAAGGGAAGCTCTGGGATATGTAGGTCCTTACAAAATCCTAAATAGGGTATAATGTGGCATATGAGTTAGAGTTTCCAGCAAAACTAGTAGTGGTGCATGAAGTCTTTCATATTTCCTTGTTGAAGAAGTTTGTGGGAGATCCGGCATCCATAATACCATCAAAGAGTGGTTGTGAAGGATAGTCTCACTTATGAAGAGGTGCTAGTTGAAATTCTTAATAGCCAGGTTCGTAGGTTGAGAAATAAAGAATTTGCTT